GTTTGCACTGCAGCCAATGTCTAACACAACTCGCGGGCATGCTGCAGTTTTCTTCCAGCAATGCACACATTGTCAGACACCCTTTTACTAGGCTTAGCAGGGGATTGTGCATCTACAATTTGGTCATGAGTTGTACCACGTTGCATCCGTAGTCACGGAACAGACAAGTCCTGTTATACTTTATCTGCCTTGCTCTATTGCTAGATCCGCCTTCCCGCCCAAAGCCCCTCGCCGCCTGCTGCCTGGATCCACCGACAGCAGGACTTCCAACGCCTTGCAACTTCGAGCTATACGGGACACTTTTTGGGAAGTTCATTACCGCGCCTCGTCCAACATGAGATCCTCCGGCAATCGCCACACGCTAAGTGGAGGGCGTACTAAAGTAGGGCATTCAATTGCTCAAGCTCGCACAGAAGGAATGCACATGTCAGCATCCAAGTGGTAACGCTGCCACGTCCTAGGTCCTAGGTGTCTGAAGAAAACCTCCTCTTTTTGTCATGACTTGAACCTACTCATCTGCCTGTCCTCCTCCGCTGGCGCTGTGAGAGCCTCGATCTCCTTCCCACATCAATCGCGAGACCCAATGCCAAAGAGACTTCCAAACCTGATCAAAAGACATATGAGCTATGCTCTAAACTCCTAGTATCCCCCTTAATTACCACTGTAGTCATCCCTATCTATTCCCTTTTCTAACCTTCTTAATGAGTTTAGACTATAGCTCATATCAAAGTGCCCCCTTCTTTGGCAGGGGGTCTGTAGCAAGGATTTGCTGGCAGTTTATCTGCGCATCTTTCAGTCTGAACAAAGAAAGCATCACAAGCAGTTACAGCATCAGACCCTCGTGGTTGGCGTTTGATACTGTCGCGTCTGTTTTGCACCTGGGTGTGGAAACTCCAAATAAATAAAAAGCAAAGTATTGGGAATCCGATACTGTTTCCGCATCAATGCCAAGTTTGGAAGCCCACAATCTGAAAAATTGGTTCCACGCTTCTCAAACTTAGGGAAGCTCACGCCTATACTAGTAAAGCCATGGGCCATGACCCTTCTTGAAGCTTGATACCGGAAGCTTTTAGAATCCAAACCGAGCAGAGATCAGAGTGAAACAACAGCCTCTCTGAAAGCACAAGGTCAACAAACGCCCACGCAGTTACAGGGAGTGGTCATGAATGGGTTCTCAGCAAATGTATGGGTTCTTTTGGCACCATTGCTATCCATTGCTTTGAGGGACAGACTCCCAACTGTTGAAGGCTTAACGGCTTGGAGGCGTTCCCGGGCCAGTAAACAGGACGTGCAAGGTCCCTGGTCCTCCGTCAGCTCATCAGCTTCCGAGCGACGCTTTCGCTTCCGCCTGCTGGTCAGTCCGGCATGGGACAGCTGGCCCCGAGACATCTGCACTAACACACCGAGTGCAATCCCCGAGCACCTCTTCGGCGCTGGCTTTGCTGCTGATACCCTGTGGACCTCAGAGATCAAGAGCGCAGCCAAGAGCCCAGCAGACGGCACAGCATGGCGCGGCTTCCAACTGGAAAGGCTGCGGCAAGGAGCAGCAAGACAACAAAGTCCAAGGACGCCCTGACCATGGCCATTGCATCAACTCCATGTGTCATCAGCTACCCATTGCATAGAACAGACGGTGGGCATTAGCGAGCTTCTTAAAAACGCGGTCACGCTGCAAATGCCATTGAAACTCTGAATGCTTCCCTCAAGGCTGAGGGAGGCCTCACCCCTGCGCTCTGTACGAGCGCCAGACAGTTGCCAGTGGCGACCTCTCAAGATACCAAGCCAACAACACCCGCACAGCCAGGCCCCGGCAACTTCCTGGTTTCTCTTTCGCTGTCTAATGGCCGTCTGTAAAGGTCCACGCAACATGTCGTTACCCTCGGGTGCCTCGATGAGACCGTTGCTGAAAATGGTGCTGAGCAGGGTCCGCAGCCGCACCTTCCACGAGGGATACTTCACGACAACAGGAGCTGCAGTCTGGATAGTCTGGCATGACAATTCTAACGATTGAAGCTGAAAAGAGGGAGCAGCTGCTGTGTGGCGGGGGGAAAGGTGCACAAGCGCCTGCGGAGCCCCAGCGTCATCCTCAGCTAGAGGGTGCCTGCATGGAAGGATTCCCACATTTCTCCATGATGGCTCCCACAGCATGCCGAGGCCTCCAAAGCCTCCGCAGGTTGCCTCTGCAGTGAGCTCTAGTGAGTCTAATGATGGGTATGACAGGGGCACAAGTTGGGGCCTAGTTCGAGTTGCACAAGTGCCCAAGCCTCGCAAGAGCGCCATGAGGTCTGGCCGAAGCAGCTCTGCCTCAGTTGCGAGGAGCGGCGTGCGATGCTGGAGGCAGCTGCCTCTCTTCCGGGGCACGTGGTGCCGCAGCGCAGTGGCGCAGGTTGTGAAAGCCGTGTCCGTGCCCGGCGATGCCTCAGACAGAGCTTTGGAAAGTAAAACTCTTCGAAAATCCTGCAGAGCCCTGCACCAGCGTAGCCAGAGCCCCACAGCAGCGGAGCACAGGTGCCAGGCCGGATGCGCTGAGCTTTGGGATCACCTCACCAGTTCACCAGTCATCAGATTTGGCAGTTCCAGGATTCAGAGGAAGCTGAGGAGCCTCATCAATGCACTGGCACACGTCCGGGACAGCCTCTGCCACTGCGGCTGCCTCAGCAGCCACTGTTCTTCAAAAATGCAACGCATGGGGCATCCAGCACCAGCTCTTAGCACGCACAAGCTCTAATGTTTCTGTCCCGTGCCGCCCTGCCTGAGATGCAGCAGTTACCCAGGAAGAGTGGGAAGCAAGCACTGGCTCACATGCAGGTTTTCTTGTGTTGGTGTTCTCAGCGCTGGCGGAACTCTGTTGAGTGGGGATGATTGAGGCAAATGTTGGCATGAGACAGAAAAGTGCCTGGAGTCAGAGGAAGAAACGCCACCTCAACAGCCATTGCAAAGAGAGCCAAGCCCAGCACATCACTGGCATCATCCGCCGCCTGAAGCGAATTGACACTACAACGGCATGTTGGCAAGTTGACTTCTAGCAAGCCATGCCTGCAACAGCCTTTCGGCAAGTGCAGCCAGTGCGAGGAGTAATTGCACCAGAGCCCCTGAAAAGCGATTTCAAATAAAGATGATAGTGAAAGTAAGAATAGGAATATTAGTAATGGTAGTAATGGTAAATACTAGAAGCAATAATGACATTAAACTCATGGAGGCACTTCCAGCTACTACTGCAACGGCGCCACGCGCAAGACACAACACGTGCCAGGAGGCCTTGGCTGGACTGATGACTCGCCTCAAGAGCACACAGCGCAGCCAGAGTTAACAGGGGGCTCCTATGTAGACCCCAAAATGCTATTATCCTTGCTATAGGGACCCCCAAAAAAAGGGTAACCCCCCAAGTTTGGGAGACCCTAAGTTCCACCTTCCTGGAACCGGTTGCAAACTGCTTCCCAGCGCTTGCAATCTTTTTTCACTCCCGCCACCAGGTTCGAGGGCTTCTGGGCGCCTCAATAGGTTGGAGCTGCTGCTCCAAGAACGCGAAGGGGTTCGAAACCGAACAAATCATTTTTGATTTCAAGTCTTTCCATAGGAGGAAGTGTAGAGTCAGAGCCCCCCGGCGTTCACCTGACATTACCACAGCTTTCATGACTAGCGAGAGGCCTGAAGCCAAGCAGCTACCATCTGCTCTCGCCCAGCCGTCAGCTCATGCCGCGTTTTTGCGATAACCGGGTTTTTAGCGGAGCCTGACAGAGACCCGTTGATGTCCTCCTGCGCATCAAATCTGAACAACTTTGAAGCGAAATGACCTTCAACAAACGAGCAGCTTAACAAACGCATGGAGGAGCAGCACAGCTCTGCAGGCTCTGCATATGTACACAGGCCAGCTTTGCGCTGAAGCCTCTGCAGACAGCAGGCCACAGCAGCACCACTGTGGCTAACAAACCACTCGGGCACAGACCTCCTCTTGCAGTGAAGGGGAGGCAATTCGTCGGCAAGCGCTTTGCCTTAGGACCTTTCTGCCAAAGCCTTCTTTGGGTTGGCATCCTCACGAAACATATCCAGCATCCGAGCCGTGACGGCAAAACCTCCCACGATGTTCACGCTTGAGAGGAACACGGCAGCCAGCGCACAGCCCACTCGCGCTGAGAGCACAGGGCCACTCAGCTGCAGCATACCGCCCACCACAATGATACCGCTGATGGCGTTTGTCACCTAGCGAAGCAAAGCAACTGAAATTCAAATCGGTAGATGGGATGGTCAAGTAATGCGGCAACCAGAACTTTAAAAAACAAAGAAGAGGATTGGCAAGGCTGCTGAGCTGCACTGATGAGCGGTGTGTGCAAGGCAGGCGTCACTCCCGCTACGGTAAAGTTTCCTTCGGCGGGGTGTAGGCTTTAGAGTGTAGAGTTTCAGGGCAGCAGCAATCTTCTGGCAAAGACAGTTTCTGGCAACTAGACTTTCGAGATGCCGACCAAACATCACTGTTCTCAATGCTGCTTAGATGGCAGAAGCCTTGCGAGCCATGATTTGAAGCTGTTTCTAGCAGCTGGGTGTCCAATAAGGCACGAGAGGACGAAATAGCCCAAGTGCGTGACCTCCGCCTGTCAGACATGGCATGGCTTGAAGCTCAAGTAGGGGTTAATGATATGGGGGCTTAGGGATGTAGGGATTATATAGACATGGAATGACATGGAATCTACCGTATTTTTCAGGGTTGTATAGGGACTACATAGGTGTGTAGGAGTGTTATGGGTGAACTCCTGCCTCAGGGATGTCCACTGCAAGGCCCAAGCCAAGGACAACGGCAGCGCCCACACCCAGAGCCAACTCGTCCTTGTGCTCCTGGCACATCCCAACAGAAAGATGCACGTGCTTTGACATACAACGGCCAAACAGGCTACAGTATCCTGAAACTACAAGGCACTCCAATTCCGACAGGCCTGGATCCAGGCGATGACTGCATTAGCCTCTGCAGGGGGCGGCGGTGGCACCGGCGATGCGCCGCCAAAGCCACCGATACCATTGCCCTCGGCAGCGGCAGGTGGTGCCGGCGGCCTCCAGAGCGCTGGGCTTCAAGAAAGATGAGACAACGATCTTTGTCTGTTCTTACGGCGGCCTGGGTGGGTTGGGGTCCCACACGACTGCACTCCCGCGAGCCACGATGGCTGGCTTCACCACAGGGTCATCCCAGTGTTCTCCACCAAAGCCTTCAGCACCACCAAGCACCTGGCAGGGAAGCTCAGGCATCAGAACTATATAGAGATGTATACGCGTCAGCATGCACGGGTCCCACTCCCCTCCTTTTCAATGGTCCATGATATAGAATACGATTTACCTTCCCTTTCCGTGGGTCCTGTGGTCTGGGTTTGGTGGTTGAATACAGAAGCTTGTAGTGTTGGTGTGTACATAGGGGCTCTATCAGGGCTTAATAAGAAGATTTGCAGAGGGTTCATTCATTTCATAGCAGGTTTTGTGAAGGGTTCACCATGTTTCTGAGGGGGTTGTATCCCTTTTTATGAATAACGTTTGATTTAGTTTTATACAGGGCTTCTAGCGATAGATGGCTTCTGAAGGGTTTATGAGGGCTTTAAAGACTTCTAGAAAGTTTACAGGAGGTTGTTAGAGAGCTGTCTGTCTGGAGAGTTTGTGGAGGGTTATAGGGTTTCATAGCGTTTTATTGGGGATTTATAAAGGTACTTTCTGTGGTCCCGTGGCATGAAGGTTTATAGAGGGTTTGCGAGCGGGTTTAGGGAGATCTTACGGACAGTTCATGGCTCTTAGGGGTGTAGATATGGCTCATGCACCCTACTTTTGGCGGGTACTGAGAACGCGCAGCACGCACGCATATAGGCATATAGGCACATGACCCCAGAAACAGAACAACAAATGGAAAATGATATCGAAACTAGCGTTGTATCGGTAGTATATTTACTATAGGAGTCTTCGACGAAAAGGCTTCCATGCCTCAAGGAGGGCGGTGAAGTTGCTTCCCAGCATCTCACTCGATTGCGACGCCATCTGGGAGGGGTAGTTCGTCTCCTAGGGCACTGCAAACTGCTACAGCAAGGTGAAGCTTGATCTTCTCAGTACGGCCAATGTTACTAGCATCCGCGCCTCACAAACCTACAACATATGCATTTTAGGCTGAAATGCTTTTCACTGCGCACACGTCTCGAGGACGTGCGTGACTGCGAAAGTAACATAGTAACAGCGTCAACAAAAGAACTTAAAGCTGCTGAAGCGTCCCCCACCACGGTCACGCCGTTTGGGGTCACGACGGCCTTGTTCTGTTCCGTGTAGACACAGTTGCCGCCAGTCTGCGCAGCCAGATCGATGATAACGGAGCCTTTGCGCATGGAGGCCTCGGAAGGTCCAAGCTTGCTAACCTTCTTGGGCGCCTTTTAAAAACCGAATGTTGGCCATCCACAGCCAGAACTGACTGTTAACAGATATGTTTTGGCCGAGCCACCACCATCTCGCTGGTAATCAGCTCCGGAGCTGCTCTGTTCGGGATCATGGCCGTGGTGACGATCACGTCCTCACAAGCATCGGCTGTTGGTCCAGCGCGGGTAACTTGGATCAGCAAAGATGTGGCATGCCCGACTCAACTCGTAGTTATGGCTGAAAAGGTCCATGTCGGGAACGACTCGGGCGTATGTGGCCAGCTGGGCACGAGTGAAGTCCTCGCCCATGACCTGGGAACGGCAATGACAAATCACCCGCGCACTAAAGTTTCCGTGGATTGTGCACCAGCTAGATGTTCTGATGCTCCGCTTCATCAATGCAAAATCTGCCCGAGGATGTGACCGTGGCATACCCTCCAGCACCCTCACCTGTGTACTGAGCACGACAATACGTGCGAGATGCTCTGGGAAGCCTCAACAAGGCACTGCCAGCTTGCGCCCGCCTGCGATGCCCTGAGCGTCCACCGCAATGAATTGTGCGCCCATTGACTCGACCTGCTCGCGGGCAGCGTCGCGCACGTCATTGGCAAAGACCTGAACATGCAGCCAACTTGGGAACAAGTTCAGTCATCACTTCATCCTTGGGGCTTTGTGCTCCTTCCCGGCCTTGCAGCCAAGTGAATGCGCCGTGGCAATCGCACTGAGACCAGCAACCCCGGCCCCTCGGATGTGGACTCACTGACTCTCTGGAGTTCACCTGTGTGTCTCGTGCACAGCTCTTGTGGTCAGATCAGGTCTAGGTCTAGGTGCCGATGACAAAGACCTTTGCTGGTGGCACGGAGCCAAAAGCCTGAGGCGTTGCTGCACGCGCATGATTGTCAAGATCTGGGATCACCCGAAGGGCGCGAATCAAGGCAAATTCCTGTCAGATTGAAAGGATGGCTGCTGCCAAAGCCACGGTGGAACCTGCTCGGCTAAAGCGCGGAAACCGGGCGAAGGCATCAAGGATGGCGCGATAACCTCTTGACCAACTCATATCAGATCTGTTTTTAAGCCTGAAGCTGTAGAAACGCCAGCACCTTGCAGAAAGCACCCTCTTAAGGCAGGCGGGCGTCCAGCGATGTTGGCCATGGACGTTAAAGCGTCCAGCTTTTGCGCCCTCGAGACGCGGGGCACCAAAGCCAGGTTCCTTGGAAAAAGATTTCAATCGAGCAAGGCGCAAGGCGGACGTAATTGCAGGAAGCCCGGTTGAGACCGGCATTTTGTAGCTAAGCCACAGCACGGAGGCGGAGGTCTGTGCCAGGGCTGCAAGGAGCTCCTGGGTGCCGTACATGTTCCAGAACCCCACCATCCTCAGAGCTGTTTGGAGCAGCTTCCAAATTCCCAACTCAGAGTTGTGAACTCGTGTCAGTAGCAGCATCACAATTGTAAGCTGGGGCGCGTCTGGGTTCCCTGCAGCATCTGCACTTCATCCAGCAGCGGTTCGGTCACTTTGAAGATGATGTCAGCCTGCTTCAGGACCTCCACCGAGGACTCAGCCACCTGGACACCGCCGTGCCTGGCCGGATGAAAGGAGAGATGGGTGATCTTGCAAAGAATAAGAGAGGAAAATGGCAGACCTCGTGTACTCCTCGTCTGTGAAGCCAGCAGCGGTGCCGGCACCAGCTTCCAGAAGGATGGAGAATCCTTGGCTTTTTGCTTGCAACTGCACATATCTATGGGCTAAACTGCAGCGCAGCTGCCCATGCGCCGCAGCTTCGCAACGGCGGATGGCGCAAAGCTGACTCGAGCTTCACCTGATGAGTTTTGAGCAAAGCCGCGCGAAGCTGTCAAACTCCCAGTGGGGAAGATTTTGTGCCTGGGATGCGCTCTCGTAGGATGCCAATGACCCGCAGCGCTTCTGGGAAGACCTCGGGCTCTGCGCCTCCCGGGGATCCAAAGCAAGACAGGATGATTCCACGCCACTCCGCGCCTTGCGTGGCATCATGCTGGTCACCGCTGGAGCTTGCCCCTGCTGCTGCGGTGAAGCGGTCATGGCTGTCCTGTGACATATTCGCTCTCTTGTCAGCCTTCGGAATCCGGTTTTCCTTACACATGGCTGCCAACCCTTGCTTCTGAGGATTCGGAGTGGACCCGTCCTCGAGGCAGCTGCTAATGCTGTCCATGGACTGCTTTGCATCTCCAAAGAGCCTGACAGGGCAAGGCAGTCTTGAAGGAGTTGAGGCGCAAAGCAGTGCATGGGCAGCCAAGCGACATCTTCACGTTGCTGAGGTAGAAGAGGGGGTTGTCTACACCGCTGTAGCCTGTCCCCATTGAGCGCTTTAGGACCACACACTGCTTGCACTTCCATATCTCAATGGCCGGCATGCCGTATATGGGGCTGCTGGGGTCGTCCTCGGCACGGGCATCTGAAACAGGAAAGGAGCTATGGCTATGCCTTTCAAGACATCCTAAACATTCCGAATCCAAAGCTTGCTGGATGCAGGTCCAGTTCCTGGGTCGCAGGATTCACAATGTCGTTGGCCCCTACCACAATCCCGACATCGTATGTTGGCAGCTCTGCGTTTATCTCATCCATCTCTTTGACAATGTCGTAAGGCACATCGGCTTCTGCCAGGAGCACATTCATGTGACCAGGCATGCGGCCAGCCACTGGGTGGATGGCAAAGTGCACGGTGACATTATGCCTTCGCAGCATGGCTACGATTTCTGCCAGCTTCTGCTGGCATCTGGCCACTGCCAGGCCGTAACCGGGAACGATCACAACCTTCTTGGCCCCGAAGAGCATGCCCACAAAGCCAACAGCAGAGACTTCGCTCACATTCTCCCTGCCACCTGTGGCGGCTGCAGCAGCTGAGGAGCTGCCTGCGTCGGTGCCAAATCCACCCAGGAGGACGTTGTACATGGATCGGTTGATTCCCCGGCACATGATATCGCTTAGCAGGGTGCCGCTGGAGGCGATCAAGGCTCCAGAGATTGTAAGCAAGTCATTGGAGAGCATGAAGCCAGCAGCGGATGTAGCAAGACCGCTGAAGGCGTTGAGGAGCGAGACCACCACTGGCATGTCAGCTCCACCTATGGGCAAGACCATGTTTACCCCAAGGAAGCCCCAGATGGCCGTATTGGCCAGCAGAAGCGCAGCTCCTGCGTGTGAGGCGTACGTGGCTGGGTTCAGGAAGAGGGCAGTGAGAACGGCACTGCCTCCCACTGCAGCCCCGTTTAGTAGCCACCTCTGTGGAAGGATTATGGGCTTTCCTGGGATCAGCTCATGAAGCTTCCCAGCTGCCACCACTGAACCAGTGAAAGTCAGAGAACCAATGGCGATGCCTATTGCTGTCTCCAGCGCCTTCATGACCGTGTAGGGGTTTGCTACGTTGCTGTAGCTAGCAAAGCCAGCAAAAACCGCCGCCAGCCCAACAAAGGAGTGGAAGGCCGCAACCTTCAGAATGAGCCCTTCTCGCTGGTCAGCAATACTTCAAAAGCCAGGTGCAGACAAGGTGCTAGCTGCGGCATGTCCTCCATTTTCACGTTGCTGGCAATACCGTAACCAACGCCGCCGGCTGCCAAAAAGGTCAGGAAGAAACCTTGGGACCATGAAGCATGAACCCTGAATTCCTATGCCATTGCTCAGCCCTGTTGCCCCCTACTACCACCTAGGCTTGTCCATGGCACGGATGTGCGCGGAGTGAAATCCCGGGGACAGCAGCACAGAAAGGATTCCCAAGGCAGTAGCAACCATTCCTCGGACGCATGGATGTAGGAACAGCTGACTCCTTACCTTGCTACCTTGCTCTGGGTTTAGGAGCCGGGAGTCCCATGTAGTTTCCTTCCCTCGCTGTGGAATGCTTGTTCAGGCCCTTGATGGATCCAATGAACATCACGGCAGAGGTCCTGGGCAGGACAAACTCACTGAACCTTGACGCCTTATTCTACATAAGTGGCAGCTGAGGAGCAGCGAAAACAGACCCACATGGGTCGCTAGTGACTTTTCGCTCTCCTCCAAGAAGGCGTCAATGGAACCAACGCCCCCAAGCCTGCCACACAGAAGCGTTGACCTTGCGACTTGGATCTTGTTCTGACTTAGCTGCGGGGCTTCAGCGGCATATCCAGGGCAGCGCCGCCCCCTCCGCCAAGTGCTTGAAGTGCTTGGACCAGCGGCAAGCCACCTGATGCGAGCTACTTGCCTGAAGCACTTTGGCTGCAGCATCTCTCTCCTTTTTGAATCTGCGCTGGCCTGCCAAGCCTGCAAGCGACTTCATGGCAGCACTGGCCCAGGCATTGAGAACCTCAAGGCAGGTGATGCAGGTGGATACATAGCTAACAGACACAACTTCGTACTCCGTACTTCCTGCCATCTTCGTGGCTGGGAGAGCTGATGGGCAAGCAGGGATGCGGAGGCTCAGCTGCTGCGGTGTGCTTTGAACCTGTCAGAAAGCTTCAAATCGGGGCTCACAGCAATCAGGGCTTTCCGGTCTCTGCAAATTGTCGAAGGGTTGAGGCCAGGCTGCTCTAATCTGGGAGAGGTCCAATTCCTCATCCTCTGGCTCAGAGTTTGGGAGCACGTCGCTTGAGCGCACATTCCTCTCATAACCTCAGATTGGCAACCGCGCCATTGAACACAGCTTGACTCATTTCCTCAACCTCGCCAGAAGTGACAAGAGGCATCTGTACAAGTAGGTTTCCCGAAATCTGGGCAGCATGGTATCACCCAGTGCTGTGGCCGACAAGGTCATCTGGCCAAAAGACATGCAACTCCTGCGTTCCAGCATTGATTTTCACAAGTCAATAAATCTGGTCTTGGGCAGCGCGGGCGTTGAATCTCGAGGATGCTAGGCCCTGCTAGGCTAGGAAGAAGCGCTGAGCGCAGCATTTCCTTCCAAACCCTGAAGCCCCACTTATTATTATTATAACCCCAATATACTATAGTAGTTTCCATTTTCTTTTCCATTATCCCCAATATAACCCCCCCAGAAAAAGAATGCAGGTCTGGCAATTCTGTGCTTCGTTCCAGTGCCTCCGACTCCTCACTTCCAGGCCCTGCTCTCGCCGCAGTGTGAACCGCAGCTGCTCCGTCGGCTTCCTGGGTAAATGGTACCATTTATTTCCGAAGATCTCAAAGGATCTTAATGCATGCCTCTGAGAAGAGGCTCAGTAACAAAAGGCCGAGTGTCATGGTGCCACCCACCTGACCGAAGAAGTCACCAAAGGCCGCCATGGCTGCATGCGCCAGCCAGCCAGCCCCAGTTCTTTGAGCCACATTCTCAATGATTTGGAGAACAGATTTACATGTACGAGTACCTGATTCTTGTTGTGATTGGCATGAGGGAAGTTCGGACCCAAAACTGGGTTGCTGTTAAGGAACTTAAGTTAAGTTACTCTAATTATTTGGGGAAGTACATTAATTACTAGAAAAATACACCCAGTATGGTAACTTAATGTAAGTTCCTTGACAGCAACCCAGAAAGCCCCCCGAGATCCCCCGAGGCTGTGACGTCCTGGGCCACCTTCCCCAGCTTGCGGAGCAGTGCTGCGTTGTCCGCGTCCAGCGAGGCGTCCATGCCCGCCACCTGAAAATGCGCGCGCCCTGCCATCGCTATGATAGTATACTGTATACTTTAAAAATACTATGACAATGATATACGAAATTATACAAAATTAGACTATGTTATACTATATTACAAATATACTATGTTATAGTACATTATTGGCCCTTTGAAGCTGTTTGCAGCACCTGACCTGCTCGCAGAGGATCTGGGCAGCGACCTCGCCTCGTGCCTCCACAGGAAAGGTCCAGGGATGAACTAGTCTACTTGCCAGGTTAGGTAAGGCCTTGAGCTGTTTGCCCTGGAACTCGCTGCCTTATCAGATTCATCGCTACAGCCATATCATCAAGCCTCACTGTTGCCCAGGTCCCCGACACTTCAACAGCATCTGCAAGAGCTTTGGCTGCAAAGGGGCCTGGCTTCCAAATCTCATGACAAAATCTGGAAACATCCATGGGAGGACTTTTGGTGGATGGACGGCAGGCCCAGAACGCGACGTGACGCTGAAAAGACCTTCCCACACTTTGTCCTCGTTCTGCAGAGCTGTACATGCAGGGAGCGACATGACATAGCCATCACGGGGCTTTATGTCTGCAACGCGCTGTTCACTGCCTCTGAACTTTCGACTCCCTCAACATAGCAGGGATCTGACTTGACTTGTTCGTTGCAGGTCGTAGACTTTGCATTTTCTCATGTGCCAGCCTTGCAACTGCCAGGCATGTTCAGCACCCAAGAGAAGCTTGGAGGGAGTTGTGCAACAAAGTCTTCCAAAGAAAGCTGTTCCAGAGCCGCTACCTCCCCGAGCACCACCAAGACCTGTGCTGCAGTACCCTGTTCAACAGACATTGGCCGGTTGAAACGGGAGCCCCGTGCCCTTTGATCGCATGAGCGGCAAACCACGTTGCCTTGGTAGGAGACTGTGAAGGTCTCCCGAGCAAAGTCCCGCCCCATTTCGTCATCGTGCTGTAGGATCAAGGTGCCAATCTTGACCGTCTCGTGCTTATCATCGTCTTCCAGATCATGCAGCCGGCTAAAGCGATAGCTGGTCTCTTGTCCCCCCGGAGATAATTCCTTGTACTCCCCACTGCTGCCCACAATGTGCGCTGGAAAGCACTCCCTAAGCGATGTGGGCATCGGGGCAGGCCGTGACTTCCTATGGAAACTCCGACAGATCACTGCCCAAAATACGGGGACATGAGGAAACCTCGAGCCAGAGATCCACGCTGGGGACAACAGCGAGAAAGGAAGCAGGACACGTCTCGTGCCCATGCGCGCGGCCTCAGACAGCGCGGATGAAGCCTTTGCAACCACCTCGGCCGCTGATGCTTTCTTTTGCTTCGGAGGTGATCTTTACCGGGCAGCCCGGCCAAAGAGAAGCCGGTGCCTGTGTCCTCCTCCTCTGCTGGTAAAGTAAGGGAGCGTGTGGCCACGCTGAGCCTTCAAAGCGCTGTTTCTTTTACGTCAGCTTGTGACTCCTTTGAGACGAGTCCCTACGCGCCTGAAGAGCGCCTTCACGGCCTCAGCAACCACCTCGTGCGAGCCCAAAGCCTGTGCCACCTTGCTCACCGCTTCACCTGCAGAGCGCGTCCGAAGGCTTCACTTTCTATTGAAGGCACGAGCGGCTCAGGCAGCTAAGGCGGCTAAGGCCCCGGCATGTGAGGCCAAGGAGTCGGGTCAGGGCCGGGTCCCACTGCGGAGCCTCATAGGGAGTTGGTCTTAAAGGTTGACTCTCACAACCCACATCATCCACATCTTGCTTGGTGGCCTCCGAAGCTTTCTCACAGACCTCTGTCAGGCCGACGCAGAGGGGCACTGCCACTTGCCTGCTTTTTCACGCCCACTCCAACGGTATTTCTGAGCTTGCTGTTCCAGGCGGCACTTCATTTTTGCCATGTGTTGTTCAGGAAGCAAGGGAAGCAGCCTGCCTCAGTGCCTCCACGGCAGCCTCCTGCCATCAGACACAGCTTCTTCGAGTTGTTTGACTGATCAACCGCAACAAATTGTGGCAGGCCTGAGCGGCCGCCCGAATCTTGTCAGAAGCGCTCACCATGGTTCCTGGCTTCTGACTCATTCTAGCTGAGCGTGCCATGCTCAGATGACCCTGCCTTTTGCCATGTGCAACAAGATTGACATGGCGGCCGAAAGCAGAGAAGGTGCCTGGGCTGAGAGACGTGAACATTGAACATGTGGGCACGTCTCACGCACAGCACCCACATGCGGTTGCAAACTTAGATGACGTGGCGCAGCTGACGACTTCACGGCCCACTGCGCCGTCTTCACCAAAGGCTCCTGGATGCCGCGCACAGAACTACGTCCAAAACCTAACAACGCACATCAAACGCTCTACCGACTCACATCACAGACAGCATGCTGTGCCAAGCCAAACGCTGTTGGCTGCTTTTCTCCCAGTCCTGTACGCTGCGCAGCACCAGGGCACCTGGCAGTGCTGCAGTCAGCGGCGCAGCCTGGTCTGGGGCCTCAGCAGCTCCCAGAGCATAATTTCTCAGGTTGATGTGCTATGCTGTGCTTTGCTGTGCTGGCTTTGCTGGGGCGTAAGCCAACTGCGCCAAGCCGCAAATCCAAAAGCGGCAGGCCTCTCTTCTGAGCGCATAAGCTGCAGTAAGCTACAAACACCACATCTGTCTGGCATCCGCCTGTTCCCGCGAAGATTTGGGAAGGCCACCTTTGAGGCCCAGGACTTTTTGAAGGACGTTGTGAGCTGCGACAGGGTCCTCATAAACCGAACTGCGCGCAAGTCTGCATTGCCCCAGTTTAAGGAAATTCCAGCTGGATAATTACAAGGTGGGTACGCTTACAAAAGGAGTATATCCGGCAGGTATGGGGGCAGTAAGGCTACATGTGAGGCTTACATTGGGGAAACTGCCCAGCTGAAACTTCTTTTGACTGGTCTCATGATCACGTGATTTGCTGCTGTCATGGTCCTGAATCAACTCTGCCTTCTGCTTCAAGATCAAATCCAGCAGCGTGGTCCATAATTCCACAGGCAGCTGCTGCCCCAGCGAGGACCAGACCTACAGGGTGCCAGGGTTCCTGCCAGCCCTTTGGCTATTCATGGCTGCTATTACTGCTGTTATCTATGCGCAGTACTACCACAACTCTTATAAGGAATATTATTACTAAGACTACCACTAGTGGTAATATTACGGATTTTCTACTATGACGATGATTACCATTATTTTGCTGTCCAGGCCTTTTCCGGTGCCACGGCAGAATTGGGCAACAAGAGCTTGGCCTGCTTCGTTGCGCTGTTGCTCCACTTCAACAAGGCCTGGATTAGCTTGGCCTTACTTTGGGGGGTCCCAATACTGAGGATTATAGTATTCATGGGTTTATATTTGGGTCCCCTATGTATGGAAACTACCATTTCAACCAGGCGGGGACTAGTTTTGCCTCAACCAAAGCTTCCGCGCCGCTGTCCTCCTGGCTTGCCGCCTCCTGATGGGCAAAGAGCTCAAGCCAGCTGTACTTGAGATGTCCGTGCATGATCTATTCGCCTGAAATTCATCAAAGAACCTCTTTGTACGTACCCCCCATGTGCGGGTCCACTAACCACAACAACCCAAAGCCTATAATATCCCTATATAACCCCATATAATCCCCATATAATCCCTATACAATCCCTAAATAATCCCCTATACCAACACCAGGCAAGCCGGCTTCCCAGCCCAGGAACCCCATCCTTCAGCGTCTCAAGCAAGGCCACCGAAGCGGCTCTGACCTGCTTCTCCTGCAAAGAAGGCTTTGTCAACACCGAATCAACATCTTCATCAGCAACGCGGCACTTTGCCTGAAACTAATCCCCGCTGGGCAAGGGATCCTATGGTGCTTAGATTCCATGCTTCAAAACGTCTGGAACTCCGCCACTACGCAAGGGCAGATGCGCCTGTGCACTGGCAACGCGGGCCATTATCAGGACCAGCAGCATTTGACCCTGGGAAGTTGCAAGTGGTGTATGAGCAGTGAGTACAGAATCTGATAGTTCATAGTTCGGTGACGTGCTTGTTTTCTTTGTCTTGTCACTCGATTTGAGGTTGAGGGCCTACCTCCGATCAAGGCCTGTTGTCAAGCTTCTCCAGACCACTTAAGGAGTGTCCAGAAGCATGGCCCCCATCTACGGAGTCTCTCATTGGGCTTCATTAACAAGATAACCCTTGGAAACCATTTAAGGACAGGGCACTGAGGACTAGTAAGCTGGCGAAGCATCACAAAACGAAGCGCTGCGATGTAGGGTTTCGGCTTTTGTTTGCCATTGTCCTATCCAACTCAGTACGAACAAGATGCTCTATTGGCTACCCAAACCCTGAACCCTTTACAACCCCGTATAACCTCACGAGCGTGACGATTTCAAACCTCAACGCCACCCAGGCCTGCTTCTGGATGTGGGTGCACCCTGGCCAATAAACCATCTAACCTCATCTTGTTAAGTTTAGGGTTTAGGGCTTTGCGCACAAGCCCCTAAATCGAAAACCTGACATCCCAAACCATGAACTCAAACTCCCAACCCAAGCCCTAACCCCAGATCCTCAACTCTAATCAAACCGGCCAAAACTGTAGTCTATACCGGCCTATAGGGGATCCATCGTCCATATCTCCAAGGCTGGCACGGCACCGCCTTCGTTGGCGAGAAGGCTTCGAAGCAGGAGCAGAGCAT